AGGAAGATGAAGATGAAGACGGGAGGAGGAGGAGGAGGAAGAGGAGGGAGAGGGGGAGGAAGATGAAAACAGAGGAGGATAAGTAGGAGGAGGAGGAGGAGGAGGAAGACAAAGACAGAAGAGGAGAAGGAAGAGGAGGAGGAGGAAGAGGAAAAGAAGGAAGTGGAAGAGGAGGGGGAGGGGGAGGGGGAGGAAGATGAAGACAGAGGAGGAGGAGAATAGAAGGAGGAGGAGGAGGAGGAGGAGGAGAAGGAGGAAGTGGAAGAGGTGGGGAAGGGGGAGGAAGATGAAGACAGAGGAGGAAGAGGAGGAGATGGTAATGGTGGTCCTTAGTGGTCTCTGAGCTGGGTGCTTTCCTTGAAGACATTTCTTGACCTAAGCAGGCAACAATATCAGGACTGATGGTGTTCCCTACCTTGAGTAATGAGATGCCTTCAAGACAGCAACCAGGCCCAGAGAGCCCCTATTCGGTGAGGGCGATTCCTTGAGGCGGCTTCGGCATTCAGAGCTCGGGGGGTCCAGCTCCCCACCTGCCCTGCTCTCTCTCTTGCTCTCCACAGGGGACGTAGCCAACAACAGCAAGGAGAGGACCCAACGGAGCACCATGCCGCGCTCCTTCTCAGCCCCCTACGCCTCATCCCAAGATCAGCCCGCTGAGCCGCTGCCCGCCTGCTTCACCCCAGACCCTTTCTTGTACCCCAGTCCCCTGCATGCGGTGGCCCTGCAGAGCCCCTTCTTCCAGAGCCCCCTCTACGAGGACCCCACCTTCTCGGCCGCTTCCCGAGCCTTGTCCTACCCGGAGGACCCTGACGGCAACTTGGAGGCCTACGGGAACGACTTCCAGCTGTATACGGAGGCGGCTTCGCAGGGCCAGCGGGTGGAGAGCTACATCTCGCGCCTTCTCCGTCGCCGCAGCCAGCTGGTCAGAGGCACCAAACCCCGGACAAGCCTCAGCTCGGAACCGCCAGCCAAGGGTGGCGTGGTGCGCCAGAGCAGCCTCTGCAAGCGACCCCCGGAGCTGCTTCCTCTGCAGGCTGAACGCAGGCACCCTCCGGCCATGGAGAGGGGGAGCAGCACCCCTTCGCCCTGCGGCCACGAGGGCGGCGCGGCGGTCACCACCGCCCGTGTCTGGTCTTCGTGGGATGCTGCGGCCGAGAGGACTTTGGCCGCCAAGACGATGGTGGAGGACTTTCACCCGCCTCCGTCCAATCTCCGGAAGCCCCCCAAACTGCAAGCGTTAGCCCAAGGAAGGCCTCCCTCCATAGACCACTACGACACGGTCTACCCGTCGTCCCCTCTCTTGGACAGGGAGGGCGGGTCCTTGCGGGGAAGTGGCCAGGAGCCGGTCTCCTACGAGTCAGAGGAAGGAGGCTGCCTGATGGTCAAAGCCCAGTACATCCCTGCTCAGCAGCCCCCCTGGGCCCAGCAGGCCCACCGGGCGGGCAGGAAGAAGCCCCCGCCCCTAACCAAAGGCCGCTCGGTGGAACTGTCACCCGAAAGGGTCCCTCTGCTGGTGAGGGAACGGCCGCGGGTTGCGGCCCCTGCCAAGAAGTGCCGCTTTACAGATGAGGGGAGTGAGGGGGCCGGGAGAAAGGGCGGCGGGAGGAAAAGCTCTCCCAAATCCAAGAAGGCGGCCAGGTCTCAGTCGGAGAACAGCCTCCTGAACAGGTCCAGGCTGAAATACGGGACCGTGGACCGGGAGGAATCAGCACAGAAACTGTCCCGCCAACGTCGGTTGCAGGGGAACGTGGACAGCGGCTACCGCAAGTGGAGCTCGACAGCTGAGATCTCTCAAGAGGAGCTGTCTCCCGGCAGCACCATGGAGCCGGCGCGGGGCCAACAGGGGCCAGGCCCTGCAGGGTACACCTATCCGGGCAGCGACTCCGAGTGTTCGGGCGAGCCAGCCAGGAGGGCCCCCGTGTGCCGCCTGGAGGATGGCCTGGTGGGCGGAGACAGCGAGTCCAGCCTGAGTGACGGGGACTCGCCACCGCCATACAGCAGCGGCGCCTCCAGCGATACGGATGAGAGCGGGGGTCTCGTGTGGCCGCAGCAGCTCTCCCCACAGCTGGTGTCGGCGTCTGGCCCAGGAAAGGCCACCAGCGGGCAGCCCAAAGTCTTCGTCAAGATCAAGGCCTCTCACGCACTCAAGAAGAAAATTATGCGCTTCCGATCCGGCTCGCTCAAAGTCATGACAACGGTGTAAGCGGGAGCAAAGTCACTTCCCGCAATGTCCCGTCGCCTCCCCAAATTTCCGTGGTGTTGGAGGGGGCAGAAAGTTCCCCTTGAATGTGTCTCATCTTCCCTTTCAGCTGCCAGCAACCAGCGAGGTGCCAGTCCAGCTTCACGTCTGGGCTGGGAAGAAAAACTCTGGAAGAAACACGGCTGCCTTGGATGGAAGGAAGAGAAGTTTGGTCCGTCTTTCTCTCCCCTGGGCTGCCCGGAGACTGTTGAGACTGGCGCTTCCTGGCTGCCCTTCTTGCTAACTCCATCCATTCTAAAAGGAGAGATATTTATTATGGCTTCCTTTTTCTTTCTTTCTTTCTTTCTTTCTTTCTTTCTTTCTTTCTTTCTTTCTTCCTTCCTTCCTTCCTTCCTTCCTTCCTTCCTTCTTTCTTCTCTCCCTTCTTTCTTTCTTGTTCCCTTCCCTCCCTCTTTCTTTCTTTCTCTTTCTTTCCTTCCTTCCTTCCTTCCTTCCTTCTCTTTTCTTCTTTCTTCTCTTCCTTCTTTCTTTCTTTTCCCCCTCCCTCCCTCTTTCTTTATCTTTCTTTCCTTCTTTCTTTCTTGTTCTCCTCCTTCCTCCCTGCCTGCCTTTCCCCCTCCCTCCTCATCCTTTCTTTTTCTTCTTTCTTTTCCTTCCTTCCTTCCT